TCTCCCTTTCTTTTCTATTGTTGTAGGGGTCTCTTTCAGATGTCAGTTTGTATTTCCTTGGGGTGATATTCCGCAAACTCAATTAAAATTTTGTATCATTTCTTATTCCCTTACCTTCGTTAATCTATCCTAACTATATTTTCCCTCCCTTTATATCTCACTCTTGAATATATACTTATATATTTAATTTTTTATTTTCTGTTTTCCCCTTCTTCTCCCCCTTTTCCATTTAACAATGCATAGTCTGGGTTCTATATTTTCTCTCTACTTTCTTTTCTAGTTTCCTTGTGATTCTAACCAATCATAAAATCTTCCCCATGTCTTGAAGTACTACAATTTCTCTTTATCCTTTATTTTCATTGTCAACCTAGTCATCTCTGCACAATCTAATATCTTTTTTATTATCTCTTCATCTGTTGGTAGCTTATTTAATTTCCAATTTTGGGGAAATGCAATTCTTGCTGCTGTAGTTACATGTATAATCAAATAAGTATTCTCTTTCTTGAATTTGTCTGGAATAATACCTAGTAAAAATATTTCTGGTCTAAATTCTATTTCATGTTGTAACATTTTCTTTAACCATACTCTTATCTTAGTCCAATATTTCCTTGCACATGTCCACCACATATGATAATAGGAACCTATTGTTTGTTGACACTTCCAACATTTCACTGATTTGTCTTTAAACATCTTTTTCCAGTGAAATGTGCCATCTATAAAACATTTTGTATAAGTTTTCTTTGTAAGCTGTTGACATGGTTAATTTGTAGTTCCTTTCCCATAGTTGTTGCCACTTTTCTAGCTCAATCATGTGGCCAAAATTCTTTGCCCAAGTTAATATTGTATTATAAACCAGTTCTTCTTCTAGTCTAGTTCTTAATAGGTAGCTATATAGTTTCTTAATTATTCTTTCTTCTGTTCCCATAAGTATCTTATCCAATTCCAAGCTTCCCAAGTTAAAACCATATTCACTTTTATCTTTTTCATATCTTGATTGTATTTGCAGTTGTGAAAACCCACCTATATCAATCCCTTGTTTTTCTAATTCTTGTTTTTGTTTTATTCCCCCCTTTCTGTTAAGACGTCTTTGTATCTAATAATATTTTTCAGATGACTAATATTTGGATGTGTAAATGCTTCCATTGTTGAAAGCCACATTGGTATTTCTAAATAGTGTTTCCTTTTCACTCTTTCCCATATTGTTAACAATCCATTCCTTTGAAAATAGCCGTGTGCCTCGCTTTTACCATACCACAAAAAAGCATGCCAACCTAGTTGCAAATCATGAACCTCCAATGTCAATAATCTTGTATTTCTCAGTATGATCCATTCTTTCATCCAAGCTAATCCTGCTGCTTGATAATACAATTCCCAGTTTGGTAATCCAAATCCATCTTGAACTCTTGTAACATTTTTATATTAATTCTTACTTTCTTCCCTTGCCATGTATATTTCCCCACTATTTTATTCAATCTTTCAAAGTATTTTTTCTCTAATTTTATTGGTATTGTTTGGAATATGTCAGCCAGTTTTATTTACCACTAGCTGGCAATGCAGACAAGTAATTAATCATATTTATCTTTTAAATCCACATCTTCGAAAGCAAATCAAAGAGATTGTCAAAAGTTATGAGAAAATCAAAAGCACAGAGTAAAAGTCAAGATTCCAATTTGCTTTCTAGCCCTTAAACACTTAAACAGTTCTCAAGATCTATCGTTCTTTTTGTCTTGCTAATGGCTTTGTCCGTCTGTTTGTTGCTAGCCCAAGGGTAGGAGAGCTTTCTAGCGCCTGCTCTCCTCTCCCTCTCTCCTGCCACTCTTTCTTTAAAAAGTTTTCAACCAGAGGTTAAGGTTAATTACAGGAATGTTGTATTTTCAAGCAATCTTATTATCTCACCCAGACGATAACTTCGCTGACTTTCCGTGTTTTGTTGCAATCTCTCAGCCGTGGTAGCTCATAATGGCTGCCTTCCTTGCTTTGGGTCCAGAGGCCATTGCAAGCAATTGCAGGCATTTTAGTGGAATTGCGGGTTCCCCGACTACACTCACTTGTACCCCCCCTCTTCACTGCCCCCCAGGGCAGCTATGGTTAAACACCCCACAGCACAGTAGGGAATCTGATGGTTCTTCGGAGAGCCCCCCCGAAGAACATGTCCTATTACTGAGATTCAGGCCATACCCCGTCCTACGAACAGAATATTGAAGTCCTCCACAGATAGAAAAAGAAGTGGCAAAATTTTATTTGAGTGAAGAATGACTTACCCAGAGCAAGTAGAAAAATGCCCTCACCCCTTGCATACAGAACTGAAAGAGTGGACTTAATCTTTCTCTGCGTGGAACTAATATTTCTCTGTAGGCCTACTGGGACTTCACTTTTACCTCTTCTAAACCCGAAGTTAGGACCTTATCTTAGAGTCTGCCTAGATTGCTGTCATAATTGCCAACGGTCTGACTAGCAAACCTAAGAAAAGTAGACTGTCAGGGTTCCACGTAACCCAAGACCGGAATCTGTTGTGGAACCACGATAGGAGGTTGAAGCTGCAGCGGTGTCTGGGCTGATATCGGCTGCGGAGCTATAACCACTGGCTGGAAATGTCTGAGCTGATGGATGGGCGTTGGCTGCAGGATCAGGGCAGGCTCCACTGATATTGTACCCACCCTTGGCCGGAGTAGAATGCCCATCCATGAGGGATCTGGTCTGCTGGAGGCATTCTAAAGACCAGCTGCTCTGGTGGAGTACTTAGGCTCCAGAGTCTTTGCTGCAGTCCCTATGACACCAAGCTGGGCTGGTTCTGTGTCATCTGCAATCCTGTGGTGACCATCACCCCAGCAGGTCTGGTCAAATGCATTGAGGCTATGGGCCGAATCGCTCCATGCCAAGTGAAAGGAGGTAGATGCTCCGCTCAGTAGCACTGCAGCCTCTTTGCCTGGGAAAATGAACTTGGGCTGGGCCAAGGTCCATCTGGGCTGCTCAGTGCCAAAGGGTTGACCAAGTTGTGTTGGCCAAACTGCTCCGGCTAGTGACTGGCTGTGTGACAGTGGCGGGAATCTCCATTCTCTGGAGTGCTTGCAGTGCATCTGCTCTGGTATTCTCCATTCGAGGGTCAGGATTTCACTCAGCTCCCACCCATCTGTGGCTCCGACAGGATTATCCCGGTCATAATCTCCTGGAGTGATGAGCTCCTGCAGCTTCGCTTCATAGGGTCAGGACCAGTTGCATGACTCACTCAGGTGCTGGCTCTTTGGGTCAGACACTCAGCTGGTGCTCCCTTTCTGTGCCTTCTTCTGCCTCTACCGCAGCTTGGGAAGGGGAGTAGATAGTCTCGACATAAATCACCAAACCGTCTCCTGTGGCTCCATCCATGGCTTCCTTGTCTTCCTCCATCTCCCCTGCGTCTTCGCGGTGGCTGGTTTCAGGTCGACGTTTGGGGCTCAGGACCCCGGACAGCATCCCAGAGTTCTGGGGAGCTGGTTGAACTTTTTAAAATAAGATTCAGGTTAATGTCAGGGTTCCAAGTAACACCCCTAACGAAAGATGACTCTGAGGCTTGAGTTTCCTCAAAGTTCCATTTATTAGAGATGTCATATTGGCACATCTGGGAAAACTAGAATCTAAAAGCTTTCAGGTTTTCCCTACCCAGCACCCCACATGTCCATCACATGGTGCAATCAGGCATCATCCCAATTGGAGATGCCTCCCAGTCACACCACTCCAGGTGCAGGGCAAGATGTCCTTGACTCTCTGAGAAAGAATGTTATTTTGATTATATCTCCCATACTCCATATAATCCCCCCTCCCAGTTCCCCACAGCATTAAATGTGGCAGGCCCAATGCAAAAGATGGCTTCCAGGACATAGACACTCTCAGGGACTTTTAAATCCCAAAAGCAAAATTTTATTGGTTACACCATTTCGGCACTGAAAAATTGAAGCCAACTCTGGTTTCCTCACACAAAGCTTGTATATACTTTATCCTTGATCTTAAGAAGGTCTCTGGGAGGCTCTCTTTTGTTTTGCTTGGGGGGAGGGGTTCACAGCACTCTTGGAGGTGACCAAATAGACTGTTCTGGGGTTGATGAATGAGAGTTGGTTTAATGTCAGTGGTCTGACCAGTAAATCCAAGAAAAATAGACACTTCTAAATCCCTAAAGCAAAACTTTGGGGCAAAAAAGAATCAAAGCCAACTCTGGTTTTCCCATGCAATGCTTATATAGTTAAACAATCTCCTTCTCCCCACCTCAGTTTGGTCACATTGTCCAGTTATGAATCGTCCATTTGTTTTGGGAACAGTTCGCTACTCGGTTCAACCTTGACAATAATTTTTGCTACTGATAATTTCTCACAGCCTGTGGTTTGATTGAACCTGAACCTGTCAACACTACTGAGGAAACAGACATTGATGCTGTGGACATCAGACCGGGGAGTGATCACTTGGAGTTTACCAGGGGGGTGACAGACCTTGACGCTGTTGGTAAAGAGACGCCTGGTCTTCTTTGCATCAAGGTATATGTATCCTTGTCAGTGTTGGCTTATGTTCAAAGAAAACAGCTCTAGGAAGAATATAGCTCTGCCTTTTATAGAATAAAAAGAATCTAACTGACACATGGTCCACTACCCTCCGTACACTATTCTAATCCTAAACTGAAAGTCATCAGGAAAACAAATAAAATAAAATTCTTATGTTCTTGAATTGAAAAACTGATTTTTTTTCTTTTTCTTGCATTGTTCGTGAAAAAAAAATCATTTTATTAATGGGAATTATCTATGCATATTTAATTTGTGGGGAATGTATCATTCATTGGAAATAAATCAACCCTACTCAGCATAGCCTTTCCCAAAGGAATTTTATTGTAATACATGTCGGCCCATTCCAAGTGTTCTCAGCAAATGAGCTCTATTCTTGATGCCACACAATATTTAAAAACTTTGTACTTCAGAAGCACAGCTTTTTTTCTGTTTTGCTGCCAGATGGTCTACCCCTTTGCTTTCTCCATCTCCTCCATTTGATATTGGCAGGAAACAATGATATTTTAAAGTCTCTGATGTTAAAATGGCTACATATGTAGGTGACAAATTACTGGATACTTTCCATATTAGCCAGAATAATAGTATCAGATCCTCTTGGATCGAGGCCTCTCTGCATCGTCATGGTTGATGCTGTTACTTTTTTTAAATTGGGCAAAGAGAAAGTAATATGGATGCTTTCCCCAAAACTATGAATGAGCTGGAGTAGATTATCCTGCTTAGCTGTGCTTGCTGAGCTACGTGAGCACTGGAATCTCTGTGGTCTCCTTCCTAAAGTAGAGTGTAACTGTGTTTTGGTTGTGCCACTGTAGCTCCTCCATTCTGCCTATTGGGTGGGGAAGAATTGTGTTTCTGAAAAATAAGAGATGTATAGTGGGTATAGGAAAGTCTAAGCTGAATCCTGAATTGATCACTGCATCTGTTTTTTTTTTCATAGGACTTGGTTCACAAAGACAATATCCTCATGGCTTCTCCTAAGATGCTTCTCTCTCCTTCTACCCAATTGCCTGTGCCAGAGGTTCCTCTCTCCGCTCATCACCAAATGCAGTTTCTGCAACAGCTTCTGCAGCAGCAGCAACAACAAACTCAGTTCACTGTGGCTCAGGTTATTATCTGTTTTGCAGGGAGATCTAATTCAGGGGTGTCAAACTCGTGGCCCACGGGCTGGATGCATCATGCACTGGCCACGCTTACGTGGTTTAGCGAAGGGGGAAAGTCGCGATGTGTCACGTGATGATGCCGTGACAACGCGAATTTCAAACCACTAATCTAATTGAAGAAAGGACTGCATAGAAATCCTATGCAAAATAATCTGAACCCCATTAGTGCATGAAGTGTTCCAACCTGAGCTTGGCTAATAGCCGAGGTGGCGCAGTGGTTAAATGCAGCACAGCAGGCTACTTCAGCTGACTGCAGTTCTGCAGTTCGGCTGTTCAAATCTCACCGGCTCAGGTTTGACTCAGCCTTCCATCCTTCCGAGGTGGGTAAAATGAGGACCCGGATTGTTGTTGGGGGCAATATGCTGACTCTGTAAACCGCTTAGAGAGGGCTGAAAGCCCTATGAAGCGGTATATAAGTCTAACTGCTATTGCTATAGCAGTTCCCTGTTCAATTGCAGTCCTTTAGCTAAGAAAGAGAAAAAGATTTGAAGGAATCGAACCCTAGACCAGCAGTTTCAATGCCAACTTCATTTCATTGCTGTCGTGGAATATCCTTGCCTTTGCTGCCAAGATACTAATGAAAATTTAAGAATATTTGGTGGTTGTTGAGACAATACAACATTTGTTTCCTTACTTATGAACTGCTCTCTTGGCAGTTCTAGTGGAGACTGATATCACACTGAATGTTTTTTATACTTAAGCCAGTGTTTCTCAACCTTGGCGACTTTAAGTCCTGTGGACTTCATTTCCCAGAATTCCCCAGCCAGCACAGCTGGCTGGGGAATTCTGGGAAATGAAGTCCACAGCACTTAAAGTCGCCAAGGTTGAGAAACACTGACTTAAGCAAATATCTTGGTTTCCCTTTAGTATCTAAGGACTCTACAAATCATTTGGTGGGTGGGATCTTCTCCTCAGTCTTCTGCAGGTCCTAAAGAGAGTTTCACTAGCTATCTCAGGGGAAGTAATCTTGAAGTATATTCAGCCTCTATATTCTGAGTGTAAGTTCTGTCGGAAAGACAAATCTTCTTTACTGTCTACCTCTCACTGCAGTTGTGTATAACCATGTGCATTTTGTCTCTGTTCTGCAGGTACATCTGTTGAAAGACCAATTAGCTACAGAGGCAGCTGCCCGCCTTGAGGCCCAGGCTCGAGTACACCAGCTCTTGCTTCAGAATAAGGACCTTCTCCAGCATATATCACTTCTGGTAAAGCAAGTGCAGGAACTGGAGTCAAAACTGCTCGGATTCAATACCAGTAAGAGCTCTTCCTTCTCCTGTCTACAAAAACCATTTCTTTTCCTGTTTTAGTTTTCTGTTCAGAACACACTTTCCATTTGTTTTTAGTGCTGTATTCTTCTTTACAGCGAGTTGTATCTGTACCAAATGTAAACTAATTGAATTACTTGAGGAAAAATTAAAATGCCTATAGGAAAAAAGCAAAGGATCTAAAGCAGTGGTGTCAAACTCAAGGCCTGTGGGCAGAATCCAGCCTGTGGGGTGCTTAAATCCAGACCATGGGGTTGGCCTGGAAATATCAAATGACTGGCCTACAGTGCCTCTGCTGGCTAAAATGGGCCACATGCGGCCTTCCCACAGCCCGTTTTTGGCCGGCAGAATCTTCTGGAGGCCAGAGAAACAAAAAATGGACTGAGGGGGGCCTCCGGAGGCTCCCTTGTGGCCCATTTTTGGACAGCACAGTCCTCTGAAAGCCTGGAAGGCTGAAAACAGGGTGTGGTAAAGCACCCCGTACCCCATTTTCATCCGGCAGAGTGCTGCAGGAGGCCATGGAGGGTGAAAAAACTCATATTTGATTAAGGACTCTTTCAGCGACATTAGTAGGTTGTCAGCTACCTCTGAAGTAGATTTTTTCTGAGCCCTGGTGATATCAGGGGCTGAGAGTTGATTAGAGGGGATGACTGAGCTAATGACTTCCGTTTTGGAGCTATTTTATTGAGGCAGCTGGGAGAGGGCATCAGCTAAAATGCCCCCCACCCAGGAGATAGCATGTGAAATTAAATTGGTTGTATTGAGCCCATCATAATTGTTGGAGGGATAATTTTCAGGGGTTTTCAAAGCCTTAATACTTTGAAGGGGGGCTTACTGCCTTTCAGAAAGTGTCCCACATGAGGCGGACCAGCGTATGATGTAAGCCTCATTTTCCCAGACTGCCCATTGATGCTCAGCATTGGATAGTTTTCTAGAGGTGTAAGTGAATGGCTCTAAAGCCTGTCAATGGTTTTTTTGTAGTAGAACAACTCCGAGTGCCACGTCAGTGCATCGGCTTGGATAACAAATAGGGCATTTGGGTCTGGGTGTTTCAGTACAGGTTCGGCTGCAAGCAAGCATTTGAGTTTCTCAAAATCTGCTTGGTGTCAGGCCTGCCTCCCTTCAATATCCAAGAAAGAGAGAGTTGACAAGAAGTTCTTCAGCTGGACAGACGTGTGGGGTGTGGGCTCTCAAGAGCCTCACATGAATTTGAAGAACTATGTGGAATTTAAAAAAAATATACATAAATCAGTAAAATCAAACCTAATTAGAATTTTGAATCCAGAGAAGCAGAATAGCTATAGAAGAACTCAAAGAAGAAGGGGGGGGGAGACATTGAAGGGGTAGAAAGGGAGGGAAATAAAAAGCAGACAAAAAACTCCTTTGGTCCTGGCAATGGTGTAGGGAAAATTGTGAAAAGGGGAGATGCCCCAACAAAAGGGAAAAGAAAGCTGACAAAAGTGATTTTGGAGGCTGTTACTCGTATAAGGAAAATTGAAGCTGGAGGTTACTCCCCAACAAAGAGGAATATAAATTATTCCTTTGGTCCCCTGGGGAAATTTGAATGGAGTGGATGTGTTAAAATATTTTTTTAAAAAGGGAGAAGACAAGCAGAGAAGTGGGACAAAAGACTTACCAGGAAAAAACAGATAATTAGAAATTACTATATGGGAAAATATAAAATTAAGATAAGGGCTTTATTCCCAAATATGATAATAAAATGGAGTTGCTATCTAGTTGAAATGAGATGAAGAGTGGGAAGTAGAGGAGAAAGGGAAGGGAAAAAGAGAGGGATAGGAGAGAGGGCAAAGGGGGGGAAGAGGAGGAGAGAAATGAGTGGTGAGGGGAGAGAGGAGAAAGAGAGAAGAAGGGGAAGTGAGAAGAGAAGGACAGAGGGAAGAAAGGAGATAGGAAGGAGGAGGAGAGAGGGAGAAGAAAGTGATGGATAAAGTAAAAATACGGTGTTTGGAGAGCAGAAGAGCCAATAATTGGTTTTTGGGAGTTGTTGGTAAAATGAATTGATGTAAACATTTAACAATACAATATAACTTTGGTTATGTAATAGTATACATGTGGTTATGTTATGAAAATGGAAAAATAAAAAACTTTAATCAGAAAGAAAAACCCGAACTCCATTGAAGTAGAGAAAAGGTACTTTTACTGAGTTTGAAATGATAGTGGCGAAAGAAAAGCAAGATCTGAGCCAAAAACACGAAAGTTACATATTGAAAGTTTCCCCAAATCAAGCAAGCATCAAAGGATAAACCCATGCTGGAGATCCGGCTGACATTTGGCGTTCCATTGTCCATTTGAAGGTTGGCTTGGCTTCAGTTTTCCCTGTCAGTAGTTGGTAGCACTATTGGTGCGAATGATGGGATGAATTGCTGATAGAAATGGGAAAATCCCAGGCAAATTCCAGCTTTGAAGCTGTTTTCTGGTAAGTGGTATTCCTCATTTTAGTACTGCTCGCAGTTTTTCGGGGTCCATCTCCTTGTGGGAAATGCAGTAACCCAAATAGTCGATCTTGTTTTTGTGAAACTCACATTTGGTTAGTTGCGCTGGCTACCTGTCGATCTCCGGGTGCGCTTCAAGGTGCTACTTGCCACCCATAAAGCCCTTCATGGTAGTGGATCTGGATACTTGAGAGAC